ACCGGTAGATATACATTATGCTGCTTCACACAAAGCAATGATAACCATAACAACAATGGCTTAACACAATTTGTTTTTTACTTTTCAAATTGCATTAGTATATTCTTATAAAGCATTCTAAAACGTTTCACTGAAAAAGTGTGTAACAGAAATTCAAAACATCTTGACTCTATTTTATTTCCTGTGAATGATCTTCAAATTAACAGAAAAGTTTTGTTTAATCATATTTTTTAACTAGAAAGCATTTCTACAGAACTGCATGACTATTAACAAATATTTATTACTATCTATTATTTCAAAATATCCAATATTTTTAACTTAAATTACCATGAATATTCATCTTTAATTTACTATGTGTTTAAAATTTAGTATGTATTTATTCACGTTAGACACGGTATAAATTATTTAGTGGTCTCTCATTACTATGCTACCATATAGAGAAGAAATACACCCATAAAAAGTACTCACCTTGTACTCATAATCGTTTACTGCCATTTAAGATGCATAGATTTCACTTCTGTGTAGGCAATCCTATTAAAGGAATTAGTAGTGCAAGTTGCGACCTAGTTTTAAACCACAAATACAGTTCTTTTAATTGTTTGTAATGTGGTAGACAAACATTTAGCATACACAAATTGTAGCTATTTAATTTTCAACATTTTGTTTGATTGCAAAGCTAATTATGTATAATTTACTCAACTTCAAGCAATTATATGCTTTACAAGTTTACAAATTCACATCATATTATTATGTCACATTTTAATGTTCTACTTCTTTGTTGAACAGTATCTACGGATGAAACAGTCTTGGGTCAAGTTATTGAACTTACATTGGAAAAAGTGTTAGAGTTGATCGAATCTGCTTATCCAAACCCAGTTACAATTACTGACTTAGCGAAGTAAGACTTAAGTAAGACTTGAGTATTTGATATTTGATTAAAAAAACAAATATTTAAATGTTATAACTTTTTTTTTACAGAGAACATGGTTGGGATCCTCCAGCTGTTGAAGCAAAATTAAAAGAATTGCAAGAGAAAGGTGTTGTGAAAGCAATGGATCATGGAGCTTTTACAAGAGTAGTACATCAAGATACACAAATTCAAGTAAATTTCACTTAGATGCATCACAGTCTAAAGCAATAGTTAACAGTATAAGAATATTTTATTCTGCATTTTTAGGTGGTAAAGCAAATGCCAACAATGGCAAGTGCAAAACAACCTACTATAGCCATCATTACAGCACAGTATTGTGAAAAACTGGCAGTTGATTCGATGATTGAAAATAAAGAAACTTACGTCCGTTACACTACTGTTGGTAAGATATCAATTATTTCCATTTCATATTATTTCTATCGATTATGTGTAATTCTATTGTATCAATGGAGCAGAGAACTTATGTGTATGTATAAATATACAAAGGACGCTTAAGTAAATATTAGTTAATCCTTGTGTTATTGGGAAGTCATAAAATAATTCTAGTTAGAAGTATTAATTTTAAGTATTATACGCGAATCAATAAGCTAAAGTAGATACCGTGTTCGAAAAATTTGTGTATTTCACAATGCATGAAACTTCAGGTACGACAAACTCAACAGACGCAACAAATGGAGCACTGCGTGTAACATGCCGTTTTGGTAAAGTAGTTTGTAAAATAGTTCTTTTTCCGTTTCAATGTCACATAAATGTTATAGCTTGCCAATTGCTTGAATTGAAGAACCATTTTACTACATAAAATATGTCATTCAGAAGCATTTTTATTAAAATATTGTTTTCATCATAACAAGAAGAATATTTATTAATTGTTATCATATTGTACGTGTCATATATCAGGTTCACAGTGTCACTTCACGTTTTCAATGATGGGTCTTCAAGTTGTTTAAGCATATTGCAACGTATACTAGGTCCAAAACGTTCGAACGGATGTCGAACATACTCAAGCTGCTTACGGCTTGAAATGGATTAAATGTTTGTATCATCTCGAACACTTGGATATATATAGTTGAACAACTGTGAAATTCAGAATCTTCAAAGTCGACTTCCTGTGCACATGTACAGCAACAAATTTTTCAAGAGAAATAAATTTTTCTTCTAGAAAATATATTTTGGACTTGGATTTGATAAAAACAATTTATGATGACTTTGGCTCATCATTAAGAAAACAAGTTTTTGAAAATATTTAGAATTTAAATTTGTAATGGATTGATGACTGATGAATGATTCGATTTGTTTTTGTCCGGAAAATTCTAAGTTTGCATATTTAGAATGACACATGTTTTCTGGTCTTTCATAGTTTCAATGATTGTGAGGAAAGAAAAGGCACGGAGAACCAAACAGAAAACATTCGAAGCAAAAAAATATTCAACCCTATTCAAACATTCGAGATGATTCAGAATTGTTCATGTCTATTCAAGTTTTAAAAGATCATTACACTTCATATTGAAATGTTTACATTTTCAGGGATATTCATCAAATAAATTGATTCTGCTACTTATACATTTTGAAAGGGCATAGTTTAAGTTCATTTACATATAACTTTGGTTTTCTTCTTACATTTCTTCTGTTACTTTCTTTGTGTTGTTTGTTGGGGGGTGGATATTGGCTGTTATGTCATTTTGTTTTGTCCCCTTAAATACGACTGATATTAATCTTTCATGATAATTCTTTCTGATTATGAGATACACAACTAATAACATAATATTTTGTATAAAGTAGTTCGGAAATTTTATGATTTACAAATGCAACCAAGTTATGCTAGTTATTTGTCACTTCTTAAAAAGTATATTTAAGATACTAATGAGTGTTCAAATGACTCATTGAACCACATATTCAGTAATAGATACTGAATATAATTGCATCTGTATGGAATGATTAATTTTTAAATGATTTATTCACATATAACACAGGTTTGATATCAGTCTGCAGATAGTAGCACAGTGCACATGTATCATACACAAATTTTCAATTTTTTGGCAATATAAAATCGTGACAATACAAACTGTGATTACTTTTTGTTATAGGAGAATCAAATGTTTATACATTAGGCAATATTGGTGCACACAGAATTGTATGCACAAAATTGCCTACTGTAGGCCATACCAGAGAAGCAATGACTGCAGCAGGAAATACAACTACTAGATTACTGGGTAAATGTTACTCCAAATAGTTACTCTATTTTCAAATACAATTATTTATAATAACTGATTACAAATATATTTTAAAACTTTCGTAAATGAGAAAGGTTTGTGATTTATAGAGTGATAGTACTTGCGAAATGATGTAAAAAAGTATGGTTGTCAGTGAATATGTATCAAAAAATGAATGATTGCAAAGTTGTAAACAAGTTTTTATTTTAGTTGAAACAATTGGCTTTGACGTTTTGAAAGTTATCATACCATATAGGAACAATGGATTGTCTGTTTTCAGCTTTACATGTTCATATCATAATACAGGATTATCTTATTAAATTTTTTTTTAAGAAGAAATGATAAGGTAATCCATTGTTTTCACACGGTCCAGTGGCTCTCATGACGAAAAAATCACTTCAAGCAACACAAAAGATTGTTTATAACTTTAAAAAATATGGATATTTTATTTTTGCTTCGTGGTACGTTTTCTCCACCATTTAGCGAGTATTTATTTATCTTAGAAATCGAATTCTTTTTTCTTATCATCCTATATAATTGAGGTTTCTAAGATGGTATTTCTAAAAACCCAAAATTGAGGAAATTATGGTGATTAGTTTGCGCTTCGGAAAAGTTCATTTATTAATTTTGTAACTCACTAACTATTCAATTTCTTATTTAGGAACATTCCAAAAAGTGGATTTCGTGTTTTTAATTGGAATTGGAGGAGGTGTACCTCATTACACTGACTATAATAAACACGTCAGACTTGGGGATGTTGTTATTTCGCATCCTACTCCTCTCAACAATAAATACATTTATGTATACTGTGAAAGTGCAAAAATGCACGAAAATGGTAATTACCATTTCGAAACTAAGGAATATTGTCCACCAAATTTATGTCTTCAAGAAATAGCTGCAAATCTTAAAGAACAGGTACATTATTGTTGTTTTACAGAATTTTATTGAGTTGCAGTAAATTCTCTCCAATTGTCCTTCAGTTTGTAAATAAAAATGGACAATTTGGAAAGATGAGATATGACCAAATTGTCCATTTTTATTTATGAGTTAAAGGACAATTGGGAAGACTTTACTCTATATGAACTGATTACTTAGATGTTATATGATTTTGTAGTCTGAAAACGAAACAAATCCTCCATGGCAAATGTACCTGAACGATGGCTTAGATATTTTGAGCAATCAAACGGAACACGATTTTAAAGCGCCTCCACCAGAATCAGATAAATTGTACATGGCTATTGGCGAAAGAGATGTTATTGAAGTGGCTCATCCTACTGCTCCTTCAGATGCGACGAATAAAAGGTTATTATTTGTATCTTTTATACGAACTATAGCATTTGTTTTATTAGGACATCTTTCTTTTCTCTCTTAAATATTTGACTTTCGAAAAATGCTTTGTGTTTTAATGGTAATAGATACGCAGTTTCTTGATCTTAACGCATTTGTTTGATCTTAAAATACTCTGTGTAAATGTAAACGGTAACTGCATAACTGTTATTACAAAGACGTCAAGCGTTTTTAAAGGTGAAGATATATAAAAAAGTGTTTAGAAATTCTTATCCAAGAGTTTCCTTTGTTCTCTTTTCTAGAACTGATGGTTGTCCTCGAATTCATTTAGCACCCGTGGCATCCGGCAGACATATTGCACGTGATGACCAACTTAGGCAGAAATTCTCAGCCCGTTTTGGGGCACTAGCTTTCGACGCGGAAATGGATGCTGTGGTCGAAAGTATTTTGGGTAATTGTCGTGAGAGTTTTGCCGTGATTCGCGGTATTTCTGATTACAAAGACGGCTCACGCATAAAAGAATGGCAGCCGTATGCATCTTTGGCCGCTGCCAGCGTGATGAAGTCTATCATTTGCGCCATGGATCCACCAACTAATGTGTAAAATCCAGTGGACCAACGATTTTGATTAGTTAAAAAATGACCGTAGCTTAAATTAGTGCACGAACTGCACATTTATTACTTAACGAACATTTTTATTTAATTATGCATCATGTTGCACTCAATGCGACACGAATCGGTCATTTATTTTACGATTGATAAGAAAGCGGGATCGTAATAAAAAGGTAATATGATAGTCAGAAAGTATCATGCACAAAGTGCATTTTAATTAAGGTGTTTGTAGCTAATACAAAAAAAAACTCTCTTAGTGGTAAAAAAACGAAACGAATTCGAAACACTTACGCTTCCAAATAATTTGTACATCGCTCAAACAATTTTCTATTTGACTGATGAAAGTAACTATTCTTTTTCCCTACATAAAGATCACCTTTTACATTCTGCATTTATATATGTATTAACATTTTGAAGCTAACTTATCTAGCGTTTTCGTCTACTTATCACGCTAGTTAAATTTCGAACACGTTTTTACAGATTTATTCATATACACTTTATACACTTAAGAGTGCGTCTATTATTACTTTATATTATTTAAATGGAACAATAATCTAAGAGAGAAATCGGTTTAGCGATCCTAAGACTGGTGCCATTTTTATTCTGTGCCGCACACGTAGATTTCATAAAAATCTCTTTTACATAGACGGAAAATTACATAAAGTGAAAACTTATAATATTTTCAAATAGTTTATAGCTTAAGTGTTACTATAATGAGGCTCTTGAATATATCAAATCTTACCGGACAGGCTCCGAAGTATAATAGGGATGAGAACTATTGAAAGCTTTAAATGAAGCCTCGAAGTAGTCAACGAGATGATTTAAGTCTAGAGTATGATACCTGAAATTGGGGGCAGATAGTACATTTGTCAGTACTTGTCTAAACATAATGGAACGCTCGTTACAGTATTGTCCTAAATATTACACGTTTCTCAGAGTATATCGTCGTTTTAAACAGATATATGCACTATACCCATGCACCAAATGCATTTCAAATCTTTTGATTTTTTGGGAGAATGATATGTAAACAAAGTAGTGCTTTAAAAATCTCTCCTTTTCAAGCCTTGAAAAATGAGATTCGTTCCAATTTAGAAATAGTGAAAATATAGAGTAACGAAAATCAAATACAATGTTGTGAAATACGTATCAGTATACGTAACGTAAGTCTACTTTAACAGTTTCCCAATAACATTGTATATCGTCTTATTTTACCAGAAAACTCATCAATTTAGCAGTGGAAATTTGAAATTAAAATATGTAATCATATATGCTACTATATGAAGAGCTCTTGCATTTTTTGGTAAAATGTGACGAAAGTATTACGAAATTACACGATGTTAATCACTGATGACATAGTTTCCATTCCACTCAATTCTCGACATGTATTAATATCACAAGCGCCTTTTTGAAAACTTTAATTACTCTACAAATCAGTCAAACTATTCTTAACGTTAAATCAGCCTATGACTATTTGAGTGTTTCATAAACCAGAACTACTTTTTATGATAACTAGAAACAATCTTCCCAAATCTTTGACATATATTTGAGTCTGCTTCGTCCCGTATCGATCAATTTTGAAATTGCAAATCAAAACATTATAAAGTTTTCCTACTTTATGTGCCATGTTTAATTAATTTTCTACAATATCTATGATTCTAACAACTTTTTTATGGGACATGATACTATAAAACCCGATCGAACTGTATGCTTCTGATGAGAATGGAAGTCGCAAAAACGGTCATTATCATAATAAAAATGGTTCTGGGCCTTGAAATTTACTCACGACCAAAACAAAATTGTGAGAAACTTTTGGCGTACTACTGTATACGCTACCACCCGAGAGTTTGATCGCAGTATCCAGAACATAAATCTTGAACATGATATTTTATGTTTTATATTTTATGTGGCTGCTAGTAAAATGTTTTTTTTTTTTTTTTAAATTCATACTCAGTTTCAAAATGAAGGAAGATAAATTTGAATATTACTACAATTTCTGTGATTTGTTTCTCGGAAGGAGAGAATTGAGGTACATATACAGTCATGATACTTATCCACTTTTTCCAAGTACCTCAATATTGTAAGTAGATTACATATTTTTATTCAAGAATGTGCGGTTCATATTAAATTGTGTCTTCTCTATCAATAGTTTCAATAGATATTCTTCAATGTACAAAGATTTACAGTCTACTCTGTAGGCATTGTGGTGTGGTGGACAGTTATTATGACCGATGGTGTCCATCAAAGTTTCTCCTTTTGAATAACAGCTCATACGAATGTTGATGAACAATATTTTTATCTGAATTTATTTCATTTATATCTAAGAGGCCCACAAATTTGACATGCTGATTTTCCTGTTCTGTTATAATTTCATATTTTAATAAGCTGTTATACATTTATATTTTATTTTGTTATAATATTATTAAGTATTTTCATGTTTTTTCTTAATACCACATACGAATTGGTGCACCAAATTTTGTAAAACTCTGAAATTTGGAAGAGATGTTCGTAACTCTTTGCATTCAATGTTAAGAAAAACGCGATTGAACTTTTGGGCGACAATATATTTACTAAGTGTATTGAAAAACGTACAATTAATTAGCGGTAACTAAAGTGCCAATGTGTTCAACAAATGTATTGCAAAGGTGACGAGAACCTCTTTTAAGAAGATAAATAAACAGTATACTTTAGGCTTAATAGATTAATAATTGGTATGATTAAAATGTTTCTTTACAACGGAAATACAAGTAGTTTTAATCTTAGGGGACAAATGCTAATGAAATTTTCTTAAATATACATTTGCTTCTGTTTTTAATAATCTTGTATCTTTTAGAGGAAGGTTCTCTCCTACTTATGCAGTCAAATCAGTACTGAATTTGCACTGCCTCTTCATAATTGAGACGTACATTTTGAAAACTTTTAAACATTTGAATGAATTTCGAAGGTATCATTACTCTGTTTAATATAGTTCAACACAACTTCCTCGCATTTCAATGTCTTTCTACATTCTAAAGCACAGGGTAGTATATGGAAATTTTCTATTTAAGTGACATTTAAATATATCGGATTCGAGCATAAATCCAAACAAGTAGAAAAATATTGCTCATATACGAAATCTATAGTTGGTAACTTAAAAGTCTTAAGATTCTGGAATNAAATTCATACTCAGTTTCAAAATGAAGGAAGATAAATTTGAATATTACTACAATTTCTGTGATTTGTTTCTCGGAAGGAGAGAATTGAGGTACATATACAGTCATGATACTTATCCACTTTTTCCAAGTACCTCAATATTGTAAGTAGATTACATATTTTTATTCAAGAATGTGCGGTTCATATTAAATTGTGTCTTCTCTATCAATAGTTTCAATAGATATTCTTCAATGTACAAAGATTTACAGTCTACTCTGTAGGCATTGTGGTGTGGTGGACAGTTATTATGACCGATGGTGTCCATCAAAGTTTCTCCTTTTGAATAACAGCTCATACGAATGTTGATGAACAATATTTTTATCTGAATTTATTTCATTTATATCTAAGAGGCCCACAAATTTGACATGCTGATTTTCCTGTTCTGTTATAATTTCATATTTTAATAAGCTGTTATACATTTATATTTTATTTTGTTATAATATTATTAAGTATTTTCATGTTTTTTCTTAATACCACATACGAATTGGTGCACCAAATTTTGTAAAACTCTGAAATTTGGAAGAGATGTTCGTAACTCTTTGCATTCAATGTTAAGAAAAACGCGATTGAACTTTTGGGCGACAATATATTTACTAAGTGTATTGAAAAACGTACAATTAATTAGCGGTAACTAAAGTGCCAATGTGTTCAACAAATGTATTGCAAAGGTGACGAGAACCTCTTTTAAGAAGATAAATAAACAGTATACTTTAGGCTTAATAGATTAATAATTGGTATGATTAAAATGTTTCTTTACAACGGAAATACAAGTAGTTTTAATCTTAGGGGACAAATGCTAATGAAATTTTCTTAAATATACATTTGCTTCTGTTTTTAATAATCTTGTATCTTTTAGAGGAAGGTTCTCTCCTACTTATGCAGTCAAATCAGTACTGAATTTGCACTGCCTCTTCATAATTGAGACGTACATTTTGAAAACTTTTAAACATTTGAATGAATTTCGAAGGTATCATTACTCTGTTTAATATAGTTCAACACAACTTCCTCGCATTTCAATGTCTTTCTACATTCTAAAGCACAGGGTAGTATATGGAAATTTTCTATTTAAGTGACATTTAAATATATCGGATTCGAGCATAAATCCAAACAAGTAGAAAAATATTGCTCATATACGAAATCTATAGTTGGTAACTTAAAAGTCTTAAGATTCTGGAATTTAAGTGTGGCTACTGGCCATGTATTTATTTAATTTCTGTATGCTTACTTATTTATTTATATTCATGGAAAATATGATCATATAATAGAGAAAAGACTTTTTCTTTCTTTTCAGAATATTATTTATTTTGTTATTAATTTATGAATATAACGTTGACATATATTTAAAAAGAAAAACAATAAATAGATTTCTAAAGGTAGAAGGACCTCAGATCAATATAATTGACGAAAAGAATCACTTGTTGCACAGATGCACATCTTTCAAATTCTATGAAGTATATAAAAAGCGACTATCGTACGTACATATTACATACTAAGTATAGACAGATAGGTAAACGTAGACATAGACATATTTAATGCATTTATCATATTATAGTTGTAAGACAAAATAGTTGTACTTTATTAAGAACAATAGAAAAGGTAGGAGTGCTCGAAAGTATTTAGTCATTTTGTTACATGCGTGTTTCAGAAAACAAAGGAAATGCAATAACAAAAACCGAGAAGCGTCTCGAATAATTGTAACCATTTTTTATTAGATATACAATTAGAGAAATTCAATCTATAAGTACGTACATTCTGCCTCATCAATAAAAATATCGTTTCACTGCTCTAAACACTTAATTAAATACTTCCGAGTACTAAAGTATAGTGTGGTTTCCACTCATTCTTTTTTCCTGGTTACAGATTCCTATTTAAGGCCTAAACATTATTTACATACAAAGTCTCTTTGCAATTCGTGTCATTAAGAAAATGAGTTCTCTTAATAGTTTCTATGTTTGTTGCAAAATCATTTGACTTGTTTAAATATTTGATAATTAATTCCTATTCATTATATAATATTTGTTCTATTTTTTTTAGAAGGGAGATATATTGTATAAGATAGTGTCAGAAAGTATAAGAAAGAAAGTATATAAATAACTAATCAAAATGAATGATTTCCATTGTCATTCAATCGAGTATGAGAAGCAAATGCATCCATCCATGGCTAAAAGAAAATCATTATTCTAACACTAGGAGTACCTTGTAAGTCGTAACAGTACATTTATTTGTTATCTTACAGTTATTGAAATAAAAAAAAGATCTATTAGGAAAAATTATTAAGTGAGTTTAAATATGCACAGATCATGATAAAATTTATGCAAAATCTCAATAGAAGATATTAGAAACCGACCGTTTTTAATTCTGGGTACTACTAGTGTTATGGAATGGTAACATCATGTGTAGTTGGGGGTGTAAAAAGTTGAACAAATCAGTTGTCGACGAGCGTAATAACAACACGAGTTAAGGTCTAATTTTACATACGTAAAAGGTGCGAGTTTATCATCGACTGGAACAGGGGGGCAAAATTTTTATGTGGGCTTAAAATTAAATGCGGTACTTATATGTATATACTTTATCAACATAACTTTGACACACTATTTTATAGTGACCTATTGATTTATGAATTGCATTCCCGATCGATGCTACTCTCGTCATATTTTATGTATGCATGGATCTTTATTGAGAGGCTTCTTAGTTAATGGTACAGACTTTGTGATTACGTTCAAAAGGGGCTTTCAGGCTTTCAAATTTTAACCGTCTATTTGCTGATCATTTCTATGAAAGGGAGATACCATGGAAACAATAATATTTGTAACTCACTTTTAAAGAGCGAAATATTTATGTATTAACGAAATACAAACTTCTAATTTGATATCATGAATTTGATAATATCAGGCTTTATGTTTACAATTGGAAAGATTAATGAAAGTTCTATTGTGTAAGAAATTGAGTTAATATTTTTGTTTTCATAGGGACTGTCTTTTAGAGAAGTGAACAATAATATACCTACATATTTGTAATTAGTATCACGCGCGCTTTTAATGCTAGTCGCACTATTGTGTTTTCTTTGTATTTATATGTAGTGCTTACACAGTAATTCTAAGTGTGGCAAATGCAATAGAAATACGTTTACTTACCTTCTATTTAAGAGAATCCTAATATAGCTTCCTGCATAATATACAATATCTTTCAATGATTTTATAATAGGTCGTCTCAAAGTTCAGAATCATTGAAAGTCATTGTACGAGCGCAATGAACTTCGATTTTCTCCAGTTATAAGAGAAATCCTTCAACCCTGCGATCTAACACACTGTAAAACTGTAATAATTAGATAGGTAGATTTCGTTATTCTGAAAATTTGAATTCTTTTAAACTTTTAATTTTGAAAAGGATCTCGATAAAAGTAAATTAGCAAATTCCTTGTATACCTCTTCGGCCAATATTTATTTTCTTACTTTTCAATCGACTGTCAAAACTATAATAGCTACAAAAACTGTTTATAATGAAAATTTGATGTTTCTTAAGTTTTATAAAATTCCATACGCTTTCAAGAGATCGTTTTACTGATTTAAAAGTCAGTTATCATTAAAAGTAATTATTTTCCGGATATGCTTAAATCCTTGATGAAAATTTTAAAGCCAAGTATGTGAGTAAATACTTGGGCAAAGTAATTGGCTAATCGAGGTACTTCGGAGACCAGCGAAGTTTGAAAGATAATTCAGATTTTCGGATTATAGAAATTACTTGTGTCATGCGTTTGGTAGTTTCGAGTTCAGACATTTTCCTCGCTAGTAGTTCGCAATAAATATTTGAACTGTTTAAAGTTAGCTCGCTGTTCAGAATTGTTATCGACCATATTAGACCATTTACCATGGTAATATCTAAAATTTTAAGCGACGAATATTCGAACACACTAGACTGGTATTTCTGTCGAACGGAACTTGATGTTTCGAGAACGAAGAATCCAAGCCTCGAGCTTGCAATCGAGTAATATTCCTGCCGACAAAAGAATTCAATGACAGCATCTGAAACCGAGTCTCTGATACTTAAGCTTAAGAGTATAACAGGATAAATGTGCGGGTAGCTATCCAATGTTAACCGCGTCAACATTGGATATCGTTTCCTGTTGGCACCAATATTTATAGGCGTAGACGCACAATGAAAGGTCAAATATCAAATCTTGGTCACGTGATTATATTAATTACATATGTGCGGACATTTTAAATGAAGCAACGTTGCTGTCAACAGTCGAGTGAAGCATTAACGTTTGATATATTCGCACAAATCAAATTGGACGCATAATCGGATGAAATATATTCATACTAATGTTCTGCGTGTGGGTGCATCACGGAGCTCAGAAGTTGAAGAACGTTGACTCTGTGTGGTCAGCTTATGTTATTCGTAACATGTGCGGTCTGGTTAGTACTTTCCCTCCGTGCAATTTGGCTGCAACGAATTCTTCCACAGCGTCTGTATTCTTTTCGATGTCAAACGTCAACTTTCGAGCTCCTCGCTGTAGTCGCCTGGCAAGAATGAAAGACGTACATAACTCGTAACATCGATACTGTCAACAATCTGACGAAATGCGCTTTCACGATCGACTATATCA